CCTGGCCTGCCCACAACAGTTGCAGTGCCATTCTTGTCACAAAGACTTGCTACGCCCATGTAGTTTTACGGCAGCTTTCAAAACCGGAACTCATTAATGTGAGCATTACTATTTGGCGGCAGTGCTTCCCTGGACGAACTCTTTCACAAGGAGCTCTACTAGTTGTATGGAAAAGTCTCATTGCTGCAGTTTATTCTGAGAAGCTTCTTTTTTCAGAATATACTACAATAACGACTTTTTTCACGTAATAGTAATTACAGGTTACTTTTAACGCTGTTTACTGGCGTTATCTATCTGTCTTAAACCAATTCATTTAATTGTTTACCTATCAACATTTAGAGGGTTCAAATAAAACACTAACATATTAACACCGCATACCGCGATCAATATTTGTGGTTGTAAAAATACCGCACAAAGCGATTATGTAATAAAACTGACCCACATGTCGCTGTCGTCTTGTAGCCATGCTCGGCGCGCAATGTACTGTCGCCGCGCGCGCGATGTGTCAGATTTAGAGTTATCGCGCCGCGGTACTTATGTCAAGTGAATATGACAGATTGATATGGTATCGGACACCGGCTTCATCAGTGGCATGTCAAAAATCATATTTTTTGTGGGTTTTGTTATTATAGAGACATGCAGAATTTTTCGTGCTCTACTTTTGGTTACTTTATACTCGTTGCTTATGATATTTGCATTGAATTTTATTTTGGGGTCATTGTGAAGTCGAAACCGATAGACTAAGTATATCAAGTTGAGTTTCAAATGGCTTTCTTAAATTATATTTTACTGTATCTTACGAAGACATTAAGAGGTTAAAAGTCAAATGGATTACAAATATTGTGTTAAAGTAAACACCATGTTATAGTCTTAAGTTGTCAAAACAGAACAATGTAATCAGCATCATAGTTTATTTTCTTAATAAAGCAATTTTCTTCCGTACAATATATCTACCCAATATGTCTATCCATTTCGCTTTCGTCCTATCTCTAGTGTCGATGTTTTTCTTATTGAGTCGGTGCTTCTTTTATTTTAGCACTACGTTGAGTTTGCAGTAATGGTGCCACTTTGATTGCACTATTTGTGGCCGCGTTTAGATCTTTCCCATTTACAGATGTGTGGTCACGAGAGGAACACCAGCAAGTGCTGCGTGGATTCTAACTATAAATACAATCGACACAATAATCATACCATAAAGCGTTAAGAACCTATAATTTAGAATATATTAGAATAAAACTATCGATCAGAAGATAAAGTTTTGCCCCCTCTAAATATTACCGAATTTTGCGATTATTTTGTGAGTTGTCTCATTCGATCTTTGATTCGAGCTTTGTACGTTTCCTTATTCGTTAATGTTTGCGACTTGAGAATGACTTGACTTTCGAATGAATGTAATGCGACCGGTGGCTTCACAATCCTCACTATGGTCTTCCAAAGATGTCAGGCATAAATTATACCCTTGCAGTCAACTTGCATATCTATCTGTCGTCATGATCGTTTACATTCAATATTTCAATTCAATTGACGCCAATTATTATCATTCACACCACGCACACGGTCTTTCGGACGTCATGTATCTTTATAAGTTTCACCTTGTTGCTTTACAAATTATATAGCCTGGCATTGTATTGTTTTTTTTTACATAGTTTGTTGCGTTGAGTCACTATTAGTCTGCGATTAGTCGGATGTTTAGACCTCGTTATATCGTATCAATATTTGAAAATAAATTCAATACATTTAATATATTCTTGTTTGTATTTAGTATCTTATTTTGCGTCAAGGTTTTTATCCTATCAGTGTTCGACGTTTTGGATAATAATGCCTGTTTATCGTTAGCTTGGTCTACCCTGATAAGAATATTTACATATATCCTGGTGACTGGATTGTACAATCTTATCGATGCAGTTGCGACATTGCTTTTTCGAAATGGTTGCACAAGTATATTATGGCTACATTGGTTTTGGATATATCTAGATAAATCGTTCAGTGGCAATAGTTCGGTAATCGTTTTAAGAGAACGAAGCATAAATAAACAGGAAAATGTTCAAGAAATACTTTGAGGCGTCGTGGTCTTTAATTATGGTGCGCGGAATATTTGGCGGTGGTCTCACATAGAAGAAAAACGAATAGATTGGTATCTTTAAGAAAATAAACTTTTAAATCTCTTGGAAGATTTTCAATCGTTAATTCCTCAGTCTCGACTATATAAAATAACATTATCATAAAATTAACTAAACACTTAAAAGTAAATAAATCCTATAGCAAAATAAAAACAGGATCAAAGAAATTTTCCAAAAATAATAGAACACTTTATATCTTCCAATGAGTTCAAAGTACAACAATTTAGAGATATCCAAACAAAACTATCAGAAGGGCGACGCCAAGTACCTCGTTATAAACCAGACAAACGAGCCGAAGAATTTGTTACCAAATGCGTTTGTGACGCACCTTGTGACTACCTTATTTGGAACAACCAATATTACTGTTTTTAACCTAATGACGAATTAATTATATAGAATATTTTATAATTACCAGCACACCGCTTGTTGGTTTCGTGGTGTGTTGTTCGGTTGTCTTTAATGAAAAGTTTCAATCGGTGATTATAAATTCAATATGTGCATCCCAGACAGTAATAAACTTAGTGGAATCAAGAAGAGGTACTTCAAAACGTTTTATTAATTTATTTTTAATTTAATTTATTATTTACTGAAATTTGTATTGTTCGTAGTTGAGTCACCTTAGCTTCTTGGAAGTAAATCTCCGTAGAGTAATTCTAACACCTCAAAGAGTTAACCTGGAATTATTGTATTGTGTTTTGTTCTATATTTTTACTGTATTAAATACTTTACTACAGTAGTGTATTTAGAAGTTTGTAATTGTAAATAAAAATTTTACTATTTTGGTTTTCATTGCCTGATTTTAGATGGAAGTAATTTTATCAACTCTTGGTGTATTCTCAAGTTTATATAATTGTACTCTTTTTTCCGATCATTGGCCATTTGTAACGATATTTGTGTCTGTTTTATATTTCAGAGATAATCCGTAATGAAATTGTCCATATAAAAAAAAATTGTCTACACGAAAACTGTGTTAAAACTAGACGATATAGGGCCATATGATGAACTCTTACTACAGTTCAGTATAGGTTCGTAACGACAAAAAAGCGGGATGGTGATATACACTTCACGTAGCGCTGTCTCACAACGATTCATCTTAGGTCCTAAACTGAATCGTAATAAGAGTTCATGGTAAGGCCCATAGTCCATGTTTAACACAGACCAAAAATGTAATATTGAGTTTATAGAATTATTAATAATTTATCACGATGTTTTCTACCATGATTTTCAATAATTTTTGTGAAATCACAGCACTAATTTGTTATAATTATTAATACAAAGATCTAACACAAAGAAAAATTCCTTCGCCTGTCCGCCTTTTGTCGTGCACCTGTTAGTAAGCGACACATCTGTCCATACTGTTACAGTTCCACTCAGAGCTTTAAATCGTAAAGATGTTAGGGCACTGCTACTGCGCCCGACACCCTGAGACATAAGTTGACAAAACCCATGTGCCTGTAATTTCACCATTTCCCTTACCTTTTCAAACCAGAACGCAGTAATGCTCACATTACTGCTTGGCGGCAGAAATAGTTAAGGTGGCGGTACTTCCCTGGACTCGAACCAGCGCGCGCCTTCGCGCTACCGCGTCTGACGCTCTCCGACAGACCAAGAATGAGTAATTTAGAGAAATGACGTTAGTTTAGTTCCTGCGAGAACACTGACGAGACAAGATGTTTTTTTAAATTCTGCTATGTTTTAATCTTTATTGTGGTATAGAATAGTCTCTCGTATTTATTATTATTAAGGATAGGCGTGTACCTTACCATTAGGCGGACGACTTGTTCGTCCCGTTACTTGATATTATAAAAAACACAAACTATTAACTTAACTATAACAGGTACATTAAAAAAATGTAAGTAAATTTGCATTCCTTTTACAGCTATGGTTGTTGTAGTAACCTTTGAATAAGAAATATACATTAAAAAGGGTTTGACTTCCAACTTTAAAGTGAGACTTGAATGGGGAAAAAATTTACTACATTCTTAAAAGCAATAAAAAAAATTAAATAAACTACACCAAACACAACTCAGTATTAGTGAACAGTTACTCATAAATGTTTTATGACTCTGAGAGAACATATCTACAACTTTACAAATATCATTTAAGTTCTACACATCCTAAAGATGTACGACATTGTTTGTACAGCAAAGTAACGTATAATATGGTAACCTAGATCTCATGCTGCAATCAGGACAGTCTGCAGACTACCCAACTCCTCCTCAACTATTTACAGAAGATTGATCGTGTTTTGACACATAAAATTCCACGAGTTGTTAGCACTATCAGCATCTGTATATCCACCACAGTCAACCTTTGCTCACTTTCTGTTAATCTAATATTTCTGATGTATTTTATTTGGTGCATTAAAGAATATATATTTTATTGACTTTTTACGGTGCGTTCCCCATTATGTCGTAACGTTTTATTTATCGTTGGACGACTGTCGCGTCTAGCCTGTTCCCACATCACGACTATCTGTCGTGACGTGTCGTGAACGTTTATTTTATCGTTGATCGACTGTCGTATCTAGCTGTTCCCACTAGATCGTGACAACAATTTATCGGTTCACGGCAGTCGCGTTGTTGTTTGCATGACAGAATCGTTTGATGCTGCGACTATCTGTTAACACATTTTTATCGTGACATTTTATTTATCGTCGAGCTACTGTCGTTCTAGCTGTACCCATTGTCACGACAGTCTGTCGTCGTAACATCAAAAAGTCGGGAACAACTTTTAATCGTGTTGTTTTATGTGTGAACAACATTCATTTAAATATACAAGCTTTAAACTGCACGACTATCTGTCGTCACTATATAATAAAAAACACTACACACTATATCAGGAATTTTTAATATAAGTCTTATTTGTTTTTTTTTACAGGAATAATGAAAAGAGGAAGGAGAAATCTCGTGTGGCAGCCCGGTGCCGCCGCACCAAAGAGATGCAGATTTTCGCTGAACTGACTGCTGCTTTGCCAGCTAAGAAAGAAGAAGTAGTGCAACTGGACAAGGCTTCTGTTATGCGTCTGGCAATATCTTACTTACGCGTTCGTGATGTTGTTTCTCTTTGTAAGTATAGTCCGATACCTTTACTTAATTTTTCGGTCTCTAACTTAAAATTAACATAAGTGCATATTGATGGCTTTCTCGAATAGTGACCTATCTTAAAAACACTAGTTTTAGAATTAAATGTCATTTAATTCATCAGGAAGTTAATTTATAAAAAGCTGCGTAGAATGTGTAAAGCCGACAAATCGTATGCCGATCCAATGTTGTTACGTGATTATTTTAACCAATGCAAACCTCGGGGTGTTGAAAAATTTATCCGTCCTACTTTCATCCCCGTGTTTACTTTTTTTTACAAGGCCCTTAACACTTTACTATGCGGTTTTTATCGTCTTTTAGGGAATCTTAAATTGCGTGGTCAGTTAGGGGTAGTTTTGGATTTAATGCAATAGGTTACGTAAGCATAAATCCTTTTGGCCATAAGGATTACGGAGAATAATATTTATATTTCATTACGTCCAATTTCCTCAATTCTAAATCGTACTTATAATTGTAAGTTGCTTGCTTGCGGCCCTTTCGTAGTCAATTCGTCCCCGTTGAAAAATTTAGAATAAACTACACAAAAGATCAACCACGTTTTTCAGGTTTTTTAAATACTGTTGGATTTTTTGTCAATTATATAATTTGAATTTCAAAAAAAAAAACATTTCCAAAAATCCATTGGTGTTAAAAAAATTCGTTAAATATCACATTTTCAATAATTAGCAAAAACGTGTTTAATCCATAGACACTTTTGATTTGTGTATTTTCGTTTTGTTCCACTATTATTGAAATGTTTCATTACGGTTCTCTCTTTTTATAGCTCGGTAGGTTAATATTATTTTTTCTTAGTATACGACTCACGTTGTGGGTTTCCACCACTTGGCTGTATTAATAATCGATATCTACTGGATATCGATTAGCACGACCTTTGACCTCGTATCATGCTTTATAACACCAATGGACGTAATTTACTATTGTGACGAGTACTAATTCTTTACATCACAAAAGCTTGAAGTTATGATTTCATCGTAAAGACCATATTGCATAGCAACTCCTTACCGACTTGTTGGGTTTATTTTAATAATATTGCCAGAATTTATTTAAATAATAGATAAATGGCCTCAATAAAGCCTGTAACCGTACCGAAATATCGGGAAAAAAGAAATAAATCATACTGTGGTAAAAAACCTGATACCGTGTTTGCTTGCAAATTAGAATTATTTCATTTCATATGAAAGTCTGCCGAGTCATATAAATTTTAAAATAAAATGATGTCAGTCTTCATTGTTTACGTCTAATATGACGTGGTTTTTTTAATAACTTCCTATAGTAAGTAAAGATTGTAGATTAGTTTTGATTAATTTTTTTTGCAACTAAGTATACATATAACTTTAGAAATGAAGCTGTATTTGCGGATATTTTTTTCACTAATAATTATTTTCATACAAACAAATATACGAGATTTTAGATCCGATGGTCTATATAGGATCATGCACCAAGATTATTGGTTAAATTTTTATAGATAAACTCGAAAATGACGACTAGTCAACAACCATGAATTTTATTGCATTTTATAGTAAATAACAATTTACATCGTCCCGGAATGGAATGGAAGCGAATTTTTGTAACGAAATTGCACATAGCGGAATGAACTTTATATTAAATGTGAAACCTACAAACTAGATACGAGCCAAAACGCAGTTCGCGCGTCTTCCAGAGAGTTCTCGTGCAGTCTCGGGAATTCCTGCTCCCGATTTGTATCTACATAGTTTGCACATTACACAATTGACATAAAGTTCATTATGCTATGTAGAATTTTATTACATAAATTCGCTTCCATTCCATTCCGCGACTATGTAATTTGAGCCACATAATGTACTAGCCACAATGTAATATTGGCATTGATACTCTGCCTTATAACCTAAACGTATACCTATGTAAAGACCTCTTGTGTTTTAAAATAGTCTTCGTAGAATTGTTTATCCATTGTACACATTTTCCGGGAAAACAATTGCAATTACAAGTATTTAAAGTGAGGTAGGTGACTTTGTTTACGAAACTTCTTTATGTTCTTTTTACACTTATCATCACAATTACCATTTCGTAATAATTGTAGACCTATTATGAAAATTTATTCTGTAATTGGTTTTCGAATATTATAGCTAGTTCATTTTTTAGTATCTGGATATTGTAAGGCGGTGGCTCCATTAACCGACATTTTTTTTCCAAATTAATATAAAATAAAATTTACGACAAAATTTTCTATCATAGTAACACGTTTTTTATTGGTAAGGTCAATTGGTGGGTGCTTATTATTGGTGAGTGTCAATGACTGGTTAGTCGTCAATCAATGGATTTTTGGTGTTTCGTTACTGGTGATTTAGAGAAATTGTAGGTTAGATTTTTTTACTAACAATTATAATAGCCTTTTTATGAAACATACTACAACGTAATCTTTTTTGAGGATCACTGCCACCATTATTAGAAAGGACGTATCCACGTGTGCAGGTGTAGCTGCACATGCGAGGACCTGTACAACGCCACTGATAATGTTATCTCAGTCGCTAAGTACTGGTCCTCTCAAATATAAACGTCAGTGTTGACACGCCAAGAAGTAGTCAGGGCGCTTGTGACAAAACTCAAACCGAAAAAATAATGTTTAAAGAAATGAAACTACAAAAATATCTACCTTTCTCTTGTGGTAACTTCATACCTTATCCATTTAGGAAAAATAAAAATAGTGACTCTGTGTTTTTTAATGATCGCGGCAATATACATAATTTATTTTTTAAATGTCACAGGTGCCTTTTCAATTAACTAACGGCGGCTGATTATATCTGTCGGGTAAACTAATCACTATTGTAAGTTATTTCAAATTTAAAGACCCACCCCTTCCCTTAAAATATCGATCATTGGTGCCATCGCCACACACTCTTAATTTTTTTGTCTTTGAAACAATTTTTTCATTTTTTTTAAACATGACGGACTTGTTAGGGCGCGTTCCCATTATGTCGTAGATACCTTTTGCAAAAGCGTTTTATTATTATTTTTTAAATAACTTTTTATAGAAGCTTCCTAAAATAGTGAAAAAAAGTATGTTTAGGTAGAAACTAGGTTGTAAATATAATTATTAATAAAAACAAATTAGTGGAAAAATTTCACACAAAAGAATTGATTCAATAAAAATTTGAAATAGGTAGTGAATAGTTATATATAAAAAAAGTAAATTATGTACTGCTAGAACCATGAAAAACGTAAAGGGTCCAGCCAACTTGACGTCAGAATAGCTGGCCACTTTATTTCTTTAATATTTCCGTTAGCGCAAAGGTATAAAATATATCAATAAAGGTACTAAATAGTAGAAAATAGGTAGTGAATAATGAGCACAGTTTGATTTGTATATATCGTTAGGTCCAGCCCCCCTGACGGACACAGTTCGTGCATATAATATAATCGCTAAAAGGATTTCTTGAACTAGGCCATTTAATTGTTTTTTATTGTAACATGAATTAAGTTTCTTTTAATCTCGATTCGACGATGATTATGTCTTTCTTAAAGTTGTGGTTTCTATGCCGTAAGTACGTAGATACATCGTATTATATGTATAAGCCGTTTCTCATTTAAACATTATTGTTGGTGTTCAAGGTGTAGCGTATTTATTAAAAAGTAATATTATAATCATCATTAAAAAGTTATAATGATTATTACTTATTAGAATATTGCCAGGGTCTTCTGCAGGTTGTGCTATTCAATGAATATTATTGTCAGAATACAATGTGAGAGAGTACAAGGTTTCGTATTAAATTTGGAATTTTGATGTTGCAGAACTGTTCGTCTATCTTGAAAATACAATTTAAATTACAATTAAATTTTTTTTCTGTAAGGTTATACTTTATTTTTAACCGACTTAAACAAAGAGGAGGTTCTCAATTCGAAAATTTTTTTTCGTATTTTGCGCGATAACTCGGATTTGTGAACCCATTTTGACGAGTCTTTTTTAGTTGGAAAGGGCACCACAGTAGTGGTCCCATTTAAATTTGTAGAAAATATTCCACTTCTAAGGGTGGCAAGCTAGGGATGAATCCAAATGATAAACGTTTTGAACTCTACGAAGAATAAACAAAGTTTGACAAACATTTTGGAGTACACTAAACTTGTCTTTTTCTGTCAGCTACTACATGTTTTAACAATCATTACGCTAAATTCAATACATACGATGTATTTGCCGAAAACGTAGAAATTGTGCTAACGTTTCTCTTCCTTGAAAAGACTAAGAGGAACAGTATTTGTACACGTAACTTAAATTTGCTTTTTCTGCCATTTGAATTTGGAACATCGTAGCGACATCTCTTTAAAATCGTTTAAACTGATTTATTTGTCTGTTTTATCGACCGAGAGACTATAATGCTAAACTCTTGAGATTATGAGTTGAGGCGTCAAGTCCCTCTTCCCCGGTGTTCCTCGTACCCTACCTGACTAGACATTGTTGATTTTATAAAACCAAGTTGAAAGTTAACTGTCAATTTGCTATTGTTAGACAATAGTCTAATTTATCGACTTGTCTCCCTTTCCAGTACCTAAAGGTACTCCAGAAGAGCCGAAAATTGAAAACCCTAAAGACCTTGAGGAGATATCATCAGAGCTGTCATACATGAAGGCGTTGGACGGCTTCGTGATGGCGCTGTCACAGCAAGGCGACATTGTTTACTGTAGCGAGAACATTGCTGATCATCTTGGAGTATCTCAGGTGAGCTTCTAGACTTTTAATTTTTTTTTCTTTACCGTCTGTCACCGCTGGGTATATTGTTCCTTGCAACACTAATGGATTTAATTTACAATATAGGTCTATATTGGAAATTAAAAAATTTAGTAATTATTTTTTTGACACTATGATAATAATAACCTTTACCTTTAATTATTATTAATAACCTTTCTCTATGTGAAGGCTTTTTATATAAAAATTTTTAGACTGTTTCACTTCAAAGGCTTTTCATTGGTTTGTATTAGTAGAGTTCATGCCACCAGTTAACCTGTGAAGTTCTGAATTGAATTATAGTGCGAGTGATCTGATTTGATCACTTCAATGGCCCAACGGTTTGCACCGTGGGCGCTAGATAAGGAGGTTCCTGTTCGATACCCAGTAGGCCCAATTTGGGAAATAAACTTTTTTAAATTAGTTCTAGTCTGGGTGTTCTGGCTAGTGCATGGCTAGTGCCTCGGAGGGAATCCCGTTGCTTTAGTACTCATAGTACAGGCAATTTTCTAGTTTGAGATCAACTAATTGGCATTGTTTTTTGCCACATTATTATCTCTGATATTTTTGAGTGCATCACTTCTTTTTCACATTTTCTTGTAAAAATTTATTTTAAAATGTCTTTGAGATTTAAAGCAGTAGATATTTTAAAACCTACAAAAATTTAGTAGTTACAGTATAATAATAAAATAGTACATTTATAGAGCAAAGCCTAATAACTAACTAACATTAAAGAAGATGCAATAGGGCTGTACTTACTTACTTTAACATTTGATCTATTGAACAATTGATTGAATAAAATTTGTATGAAGTGTATCAGGGAAATTCAATACAATTTGTGTAATAACAAAGATTTTTTTCTATTCTCTCAATTTGCAATAAAGTTAAGCTTCTTCAGTTAAGTTTACTGTGCTAGCAAAAATATTTTGTTACTCTAAATTGCATACGAATAAATTTATCATTATCATAATAAAATTATTTCAGAAATATACAAGGAAAAAAGAAAAATAACACTGAATATTTCAAAAATAGAATGAAATTTGATAACATGTAAGATATTACCAAATTACATTATTAACGTCGACTGCTTAAAATATTTAAACTTCTTAACTAAGTATTTTAATTTTTATGTTATTTATACCAACGGTTTGACGCACATGCTGATGACAATATTTGTCTTTGTAATGCTTTTTTACAACAGCGCTGAGACAAGTTGTAAGGAAGAAACTACCATGTCATGAAAATTGATATTACCGTTAACACAGGACTGTTTTTAGTTATAAAAAGGGCTTTAGTGGGCTTAACTACATTACATTTTAATTTGTTAACTACCGCGTTACAGTTTTCATATAATTTTACACTTAAGTGTTCCTTGATTTCATAATTTTTTTTTGTGATTACGCGTATTAAACAAGAGTTTCTTTTTGATATTTCAAAAAGAAACTCTTGCAGCATTATATAGCAGCATTTCGATGTAATACTTGCTATATATAATAAATAATGTACATTGTAATAAAAAGTTAGGGCTAAACTCCAACTTGTTTTCAAACGCATAATAATAAACACTATCTAAGAAATATGATCGGACATTTTTAATACAGTCTGTATACTTAATGTTTCATCTTAAGTTTTTAAATTATATGTACATTGTTATTTTCACGTTGATTCCATTTAGGTTTTTTTTTTTTAAATAATACGTAAATATAATTGTTTTGGAGTTTCAGATACTTAACCCGCGTTGTTTTCGGCCAGCAAGCGTACATTTAATATTATATTTGAACTGATAGTTCCATATCCAAAACGATGATTCCCAAAGTGGTCTACATCAGCGAAAAAATATACGGTGCATGAGATAAAGAATAATCCATACTAGACGATTAGTACCTATGTAAAAACATAATGCTTTCTTTTAATAGACATGAATTATACTTATAAAGTACTGAAACATTTCAGAACAAATAAGATATTCGGTTGAATAAGTGTATAAACTTAACATATTTTTTTATAAAGTCTCTCACTAGAACAGCTGTAAACACACAATAATATAAACTTGATAAAAAATATTAGAAAGGCAAAAGGTCTACGTATAACAGAAATAATTAGTAGACCACGTGCCAGACAAAGACTTTAGATCATCTGATCTAGAGTAACTTCTTCAATTGTTTATAAAATAACAATTGTTTTTATATTTGTTGGTTACGCAACATAACATGTGCTAGCACCCGATACATAATACAAGTAGTAAACTTGTTTACGTGAATCTTTCAATACAATAAAGCTACATCGAGGTCAAAACACTATTTACCTTGGAATACTTCTATTTCTGTCTTTATAGAAAGTATATGTATACTGGGTGTTAATTTATTGTCGTTACTCTCGAAGAGGGGGTTAATGCGAACAAATTTTTTAAATAACAATAATGCGAACAACTTTTGTTAATAACAATGATGTGCCAGTCAACCACACAAATTACCCGTAAAATAGTTAATTTCCTGTACTATAAGTACCAGAGCAACAGAAATGATTCCGTGGCACTATCTAGAACACCCAACCAGTAGCAATCCAGAAAAGTTCATTTCCTAAATTAAATTGGTCCTACAGCGCAAACTTTTTAGACAGCGAGGTTGTCGGTTTTACTGTCTCTGAAATCGTGAGAAAACCTGCAGATCCGCAAGTATTGGTCGAGTTGCTTAGATTAGAACTTCATGTGTATAAATCAACTGGTTTGTGTGGAGAGTTAGACCTTGACTCGATTGGAGATGTCCTTAAAATACGCCAGGTTCCAAGTACTAAGAATAAACCAACGCGCACGGGTTTTGCCCCTCAAATCGCGTTATATTTATAAAACAAAAAAAGATTTGTCAGGTCTCAGGACCGTAGCAAGTGGAGGTTCATGATCTCTTTTTTATGATGGTAAGCCACACGCGTCACAAAATATCTGAGGGGCACTGCTATTGCGCCCGTCACCCTGAGACATAAGTTGTTACGTCTCATGTGCCTGTAATTTCTATCTAAGTCGTGATGGTAGCCCTCTTCTTTTTTTTTTGCGATTTTTACAGGGACTTAGTGAAAATTGTTCGTTTTAACGCTCTGTTGTCCACGGTATGGTGTTTATTTGCTATTGAACTATGGTTTAAAACATTTATTCTCACTAAGAACTGAATGTTTTTGATCGTAGAAGTTGATGCAAATAATTCAAACAGTTAGCCAACTGTTCTCAAGTATTTACTTCGTTATTTATGATAAAATAATATTATTGTGTTATTCCATTCGTATATATATTTTAAAACATGTTTGTTAATGTAGTCTTAGGGTCGTATTCCAGAACTCTACTCAATGCTCAAGTCAGGATCTGAGTATGATTTTAAGCACTGGAAATACGACTCTTATGACAGGGTCTTGAGTATGATTTCGAGTGTTTTAAACCATAGTCAAATCCTGACTTGAGCAATGAGTAGAGTTCTAGAATACGATCCTTAGAGTGGTTACACACGGCGACTTTTTGTAACGATCCAAAAGCGCGTTCGTGAAACGCGCGTTTGCGTCGATGCAGTCGCGCGTTTGAATCGCTGGTTAAAATCGCGCGCGTGTGTGAAGGTAGACGATTATCGACTGTATGCATCGCTGATAAAAGTCACCGTGTGTAACCCCTCTAAGGGTTAAACCACGCGTCTCGGCACCCTAACAGCACTATGTCCAAACCTTGTGAAGAAAACATGTACCTACATTTAATGGTCATGACGAGTCAACATCCGACTTGCTGATGACCCTATCTTCTTCTTAATCGTTTACTCATTGCTAAAGATCATGACTCTACATCATGCCAATTTTCTGCTATCAGCGGTCGTCTGGCGGAGTGCGGCGCGGACAGGTAGCTTGAATTGTTCTGAGATCTGATCTGGCTATCCTTTGGGATTCATGCCTCTAGATTTTCCTTCTCTGTCACTCAAACACTTCATTTGGTTATTATTAGCTTCTCTTCGTGTAATGTCACCAAAATAGCGCATCACATGCTGCATGGTGGTGATGATAACCCTGTAAATACTCTAAAACACTAATTTAATACGAATACGGTGCTAATGCATACTGACAAGTAGGATCTAAATCTGTTTTTTTTTTGTTTCGTGATAAGCGTTTCTTTTACGCTTGTAAACTCTATAAATATCCATAAATAAATAAGTTTTTTCATTGTTCATCACTTATCGAGTTCTTAGGTTTTCGCGATTGTTACACATAGGAAATGAAAATATTTTTCCGGATTTCAATCGCGTATATTTGTTTTTTTTTTTCAAACAAACCGACGTTTCGGGTGCTTTACAGGTCCCATGGTCACGGTTGACTGAGGTGGTACAGTCTTCCTTACTGAAAACTGACTGTTAGTTTTATTTCCTATGTTCATCATTTGTTGTGCGTCACTCAATCAGTCCATAAAACAAATATAAACTCATGTCTTATTTTTATGTATTAATTAAACTAAAAACAATCTCGCTATGCGAATTAGATATGTAGTCTTTAGATCTCCACGTACTTACACTACCATAGAAGTGTGCTAGTGATTCTGCCTGCTGCACTGGTAAAGCAAGTATGTATATCTGTCATCCATAAAATAATTAAAAGCATTCAGGACAATCATCACAGTATATGTAAACCTATTCGCTCAGTCAACGAGTCTGAACCATAAATTATTTATTACCGTATCGTACAGCAACGACGCACGCGCATGTAGATCATGCTCAGCGACATGACGTCACAGATGATGCGGTTAATGGAAGAATTTATTAAACTTTATCACCAACTCACGCCACTAATATCCTATCTGTTTGTTTCGCTCCGGAATGAAGTATCACGAAATGTATGTAGATTACGGAATACATACAAGGTTCTTTGTAAAACACTACTTCGCAGGGCTATATTACTAACATCATAAACAACAATTTTGCTGCTCCTGTTGCCTCCGTGGCCGAACGGTTACCATGCCGGACTGCCACGCAGATGTCCCAGGTTCGATTCCCGGGCCAGGAGAAATATTTGTATGCCCTACATTTATTTCTCTAGTGAGTTTGGGTGTAATTTGTGGTTGTCCTATGTGTGTCTCCATGGCACGCGCGACACAGGGTATCCCTTTTGCGGGGCTATGTTGAGTGTGTATGCTATTATTATTATTAACTTTTATTCCACGACTTTTAACAAAGCAATAAAAAACAAACTTTTTTGTTTCTTGTTGTACTATCTGACACTTTTTAGATCTATATTTGGTGGTAAGATAGTAAGTTCAGATGCAAACGTCTTCACCGTTGACCCCTAGCTCCGCTCCTGCGTTTTGCACAGAGTTATTACTGTTTAGAGCAATCTATTGAAATATTTTTATTTTTGTAAAACAAAAGTTGTGGTTTATGACGTTAGTAACAGCCTTGGGAGGTTTTAGTAAGAGGGTGTAGTATTTTTCAAATAACCCTGTATATGAAGACGTTCTCAGTGATAAATGTTGCTATAAATCTTACCCAAAAGAAAATAAATGAAGTAATAATATTTTGGAGTGAACAGGAAAACAGGTAATCTGGAACCTTTCACGGAATTGTACACGCTTTAAGGCGAAACTGTGTCGTAATTGAGTAGGTTTTGAAGCGTGCGAGATAACGCAGAGGAATTCATTGCACAATATTTAAAAAATTACATACATATCGTCAGTAGCAGTGGAGGTCCTTGTGAAAGAGTTCGCCCAGGGAAGTACTGCCACCTTACCTATTCCTGCCGCCAAGCAGTAAAGTAAGCATTACTGCGTACCGGTTTGGAAGAGTAAAGGTGCTGGTGAAATTACAGGCACATGGGACTTGTCAACTTATGTCTCAGAGTCACGGGCACAGTGGCGGATGTGCCCCTAAGATCTTTGCGATTTAAAGCTCTGAGTGGCACTGCAACTATTATGGATAGGCGTGTGTCGCTTCCCACCAATGGACCTCCACCTGCTACACTCCTGACAAACCGCCTTCGCCTCCTCCACTCCCATCAGTCTCTTCTTTAACCTGGCCTTCTTTATCCCCAATCTGATATGTACTCCTGACGTCTGCCTCTCCCAGCCCTTCCATCCATATTCGGTCTATAAATTTGTGCCGTTAATCTACCAACATTCCGCTCATTTAATGCCACGCTGACGCAATTGTAATTGTACTTGTAATATTACTGGAAATATATTTGAAATATTTTTTTACTTTCATTTAAAATTTGTGACGTGTCAATAAAACTTTGTGTATTTTTACAGTGTTCATATATAAATTTAAAATACTGCCGATTTTTCTTTTAACGTGAACACTTGTTTACCTCGAAACTTATAAGTCATTGAATAATTATTTACAATGATTGCTACCACGTAACAGGTCTACCAGAATCTTAAAAAAAATAAGGAAATTAAACATTGTTATTAGCAATATTGGAATAAAACGTTCATAATAAATTACTAAATAACGATTGTCCTAAAAATTTTGAAATGCTGGAAATTTTTCAAAATTTTATTAAGAAAATAGCAAACATATAGGAGAAAAATTTGTATTTCTAAATTTGGTTCTTTTTTCAGAAAAAGTAAAAACGAATAACTGAAATAATATAAGACACTAACTTTTGTTTGAAGAATACACACGCACGCACGCACGCACGCACGCACGCACGCACGCACGCACGCACGCACGCACGTACGCACGCACGCACACACACACACACACACACACACACACACACACACACACATTGTGATGTTACTACTGTTACTGCTGTCACAGGTGTTTACCCACACTTGTAATGCCATAAAAATTTTCTGTGTCTTCGTTTCCTTCATTCAAATCCTACCGAATAATATTCTAAGCGGCTTGCTAACAATTCTATGTAAATGTTGCTATGTAAGGGATATGTGCGATTTGGAAAAAAATATTGATGTCGCTCGTAGATAAATAAATAAGCAGTGTTTTTATCAGTAATTATCAAAGTAGCGATGCAACAGCAATCGATAGATTAAAAAAAAAACCGACCTCAAAAATACGTGGTATTACGTCTATTTGCTAAGTTTTATTGACATATTCCCTAGTTCGCCACTATACAGGACTTGACACTGGAGATAATAAAAATCGATTCTCACTATTTAAAGTGTATTGAGAGAAAAAGGCCTTGAATTGGAGAAATAGCAAACAAAACCATCAAAATAATTGCTCCTAAATTAAAGTTAGGCGCTATTTATAAAAATCTTCATGCGTGAAGATGAAATGGGACCACTATGGAAGTACCCCTTTCCAACAAAAAAAAATCATGAAAATCGGTTCATAAATACCGGAGTTATCGCGTAACATACATACAAAAAAAGAAAAAAGCATACAGTCGAATTGAGAACCTCCTCCTTTTTTGAAGTCGGTTAAAAAAGGTAAAATGTTAGAAACCCCGCATTTTCCCCACATAGCGTCATCCCACAAAATGCCCAATCGAGCTGAAATTCTCCACAATTTTAGGGAATACTATGCGTGTTGCCCATTTATTTTGAGCAATTTATCTACGAAGACTAATATTAACAACAAAAGAGGAAATGTAGTAAAAAATACAATTGTCATATTGTCATATTTTTATTTTCATACTTTTAGAGAGAAAAAAACGTACTCTAGAAAAATAACGGTTTCTTTTCATTGTTTTTTTTTTTCGCCTCAGAAAACACTATATGTGCGGCAACAAAAGATAGCGCTAGTTAAATACCAGTTATGCTTATAAAACTTATTAAATAAATCCATTACTTTTAATTTCCAGATGGAGATAATGGGTCAAAGCGTCTTTGAGTTCACTCACCCATGCGACCATGATGAAATCCGCGAGGCTCTCCGTTCCACTAACAAGGGGCGTCGCGAGTTACTGCTGCGCTTCAAATGTACTCTCACCAGCAAGGGCAGAAATGTTCACATTAAATCTGCATCGTATAAGGTAAATATTGATAACTTCTGAAAGACACTGAAAGAGAGAGAGCTAGAAGAAAAACTTTTTTTTATAGTCTTATCCATAACAGTTGCAGTATCACTTAGAGTTTAAATCGCAAAGATCTTATGGATACTTTAAAATACCTTTTTTTTATTTTATTTTTTTGGTACAATCAGTCATTACAATAAGAATTAATACAGAAATTTGAACTATACTATAGACAACGAGTACCGAATATTACACTTAAATATTAATAACATGTACTAAAAGGGCTGAAATATAGATATAAGTAGAATACAAAATAAACGCGTTTTTGAACCAAAAGCGAATGGTTAACCATATGGGTGCTTAGACAAATTACTACTTAGAACTAGAGAAAATTAAAACAAAACTAATTAACCGGGATGTAAACCGGCTTCAGGTTACATAGACAGTAAATAATTTGTTGTGGACGCTTACCTTAAATCTGTTCAATAAGATACCAAACATATCCGTGTCACAAAATGTATTATTTTGTAAAGATAACGAACGTTGAAAATAACTGTTTCTCGTATAATTCTTACGGAGTCGTGGTGGTACGAAAATTTTTATTTTACCTTGGGGGCGTGCTGGTAAACGAGCTTTATTTATAAAATTAACCTGCGGTAACAGAGTCGGTGAATCAACCATATTGTTAAGTATTTTGTAGTGAAAAACTATGTCAAATTTCTTACGGCGATTTTGTAAAGTAAGTAATTTATTACGCCTAAGAGAGTATTCGTATGGTTCAACTACTACTAGTACGAAAATTAAGAATCCTGATGAATTTCCGTTTGACTCTTTCTATTCGATCGATATTACATTGGTAGAATGGATTCCAAACCACGCTTCCAAAATTGAGTATGGATTTAACGAATGAATAATATAAAATTTTAAATGTTATGACTTGCTTAAATGGTTTGGTAATGCGATTAATAAAGCCCAGGCTTCTAAAGGCTCGACTGAGTATTGTATCAATGTGCGAGTTGAAAGATAGTTGATCATCCATGACAATACCCAAATCTCGAATGGTTCTTACTCGTTTCAAAATAGAATGCTCAAGTGTATAAGTTAATGTATTCGACATTTCTTGCCCAATATATTATACCCATAAGTGATGATGTTACACTTGTCTATATTTAAGAAAAGTTGATTTATGGTACAATACTCTGAGAGAGTTGCGATGTCCGACTGTAGCAACTCACAATCGCTAGGAGAGACTACTATTCTATAAAATTTGGTGTCATCTGCGTAAAGCAGATGACTTGAGTGGTGCAAAGAGTCTCCTAAATCGTTGATATATGTATAAGGAAAACAGTAGCGGACCTAAACGGGAACCCTGCGGGACACCCGAAGGCATCGGCAGGAATTTAGAACAGTAACCTCTCAAACAAACCGCCTGACTTCAGTTGCCTATGTATGACTATGTATGACTCGACCCATCTAAGCAAACTGCCATGTACACCGATCTTGTTACGCTTTTTTATGAGCAAATTGTGATAAATTTTGTCAAATGCTTTGGAAAAGTCGGTGTACACAACGTCTACCTGTAAGTTATTATCCATAGCGCACAATAAATAATTAGTAATTAGTGAATTGAATCATGTTTGATTCGACACAACGTGACCTCATAAGCCCGTGCTGGTGTTCCGAGATAAAATTTTGAACAGAATGGAACAATTGCGCAGTTACAATCTTTTCCAAAATCTTGCCAAGAATTCACAGTTTAGAAATAGGTCGGTACTGGGTGATTTGATCTGTTTGATCATTTTTAGGTATTGGGGGTTATGACAACCCTCTTCCAGATACAAGGAATGACTCCCGTCCTCATAGATTGTTTAAAGATACTTGTGACGGGTTTAAGTAAATCTGCGGAACATTTCGAAATTATAATTGGATGAATACCATCTGGTCCGTAATACTTATATTTACTAATAAATATTAACCGTTTTTTCTTTACCATAATAATATGGTAATGTTTTAATTTGTACATGTAACGTATGTAGATTCAAACTACTTAAATATTCTTTGTATACACTGTTACACCATCCAGTCTGTTGTATGCTGGCCACACTTCTGACAGCCTTTCGGCAACAAAGCTGTTGTCTTGTTACAGAAAGGCTCTCGGGGAGATGAAGCGCCTATTGTAGACTTTGTCATTAAATAATATGATATGTCGCCACAATTTAATAGAACACGTGCGTCCATGGCAGCAAAGCCGGATACCAACTGCACCCGAATTCATCTTTCCCAACAAATTCTCTTGTAAAAAGTAAGAAAAAATTAAACGGGGCGTGGTCAAGAGCACGTCAAATGTTTTACTACCATGGTATTAATTTTTTTAAATTACTTCACTAGTTTGTTATAATTATTAATACAAAAATGAAACGCGAAGAAAAATGTCTTCGATCTGACAGGACTCGAAACTGCGTCTGTATGCCAAACTAGGGCTGTTCGATCTTTGTAAAAATTAGACACTTGAGATTTAAATTCGATTCTATGTCGCTTATAGCACAGTGTGAAGTTCATTGTTTCAAGCTTGATGTGTTGCACTGTAAGTAAGCCTATAATAACGAAAGCGATAATTGTACTGCAACGTCGAATTCCTTCGTTATTTTCAGTTTTTTTAACAAATACTAGTAGAAGAAATGGTTTAAATAACAAACCGAACAAAATTAATCAAATGGCTGAGTTAGCTGAATTGTTGATGAAAATACTTGGCTTCAATGTACACTATTTTATTTTACATTTTTTGGTAAAGTAACAGGAAGGTATATAAAAGTTACAATAATAAATTTAGATGCCAATCAAGTTTCCACAGATAAATTAACAGTTTAACTTGTCATTGGTACTGTACAAACACTCCGAAGAAAAAATCAAACAGATAATTCTTTAAATTTTTATTGAATTGATATTCAATTTTTTTTTTGCAATTACTCCACCAGTTTGTTATAATTATTAATACAAAGATGGAACACTTAGAAAAAAAAATCCTTCGATCCGGCTGGATTCGGACCGACGTCTTCTAGCAAACCGTGACAGACGCTATGCCAACTAAGCATAGATAATTCTTACTTAGATTACCTTTTATTGAAAGAATAAAAGACAGATTACAGAGTAGTCGTTTGTAGTAGTAGTTAAGTTGTTCTGAATTATTGAAAAAGTCAATATCGTGCTGCTTTGCTATTCTGTTATAGCACTCATTCGCTCTAATGAAGAAGGGATTTCGTCTATAATTTACTTTCGCCAAACAAACATGACGTACTAGGATGTCGTAATGAAGCCATTGGAAGACGCAAACCAATGTTACTGAGAAGCTCAGGGCAGTGAACTGGGCCACCTTTTACTTTAAATAAATATAGGATATTAGCCATTCGTCCTTAACGTTATATATACTAATATCATCTTAATAAATTCCCTCAGGTTATACACGTGACTGGCCACATGCTGTCACAAGATAAAGAAAACGAACGAAACAATAACGACGACAGCAAAACAAATGAAGACGACAAGAAAAGCAACGGTGGTGCCCTCGTAGCCGTTGGTCGTCCTATACCGCATCCATCTAACATTGAAATACCACTGGACTGCAAGACTTTCCTGTCACAGCATAGTTTGGATATGAAGTTCACATATACTGATAAAGCGTAAGTGTTTTGGATATTTTTGAACATATTATTTAAACAGTCGGATTTTTAATTGGAGAAGGCCATCGAGTATATAACCAGAAATAGAGACGAAATGTCATTTAATTTGTTTGAAAATTATTCTGCCAAATCATTACGGTGACAACAGCACTCCGGTTGGCCAGCCCGAATTCGAAACAATTGATGGGTGTAGTCAATTGTTTCACTTCAAATCGACCAGTTTAACTTGAGCTTTTCAAAAATTACATATATAATATTTAATTACCGATGAAATGTGATTCCGATTGTTTTGTAATTAGATGTATGCTTCCCACACCACCAAATGCAACAGCCCCCATTTAGTGTGAAAATAGGGACTCCTATCATTATCATCTCTCTCATTATACGTTTTCTAGTAAACACCCTTACTTTTCCTGATTCCTGAAAGAGTTCGGAACTAATATTTACTAAAATATTAGTGTCTACATTACGTAAATTTGCTATTGTAGACTATTTCTCGCACTTTGACAATTTACTCACTTTTCATGTCTGATCTCCCGACCTTGGCATATTCTATCGTACTGATACTATCTCCGAATTTTGCTATTCGTTTTTCTACTGCTAATTTTCATCAATTTCACTTTATAAACATTTTTATTTCGTGTTTAATATTTTTACATGTTGACATTGATTGACAGATATGTTACCTATTCTTCCATAGATTATCCTATAAATTACTCTTCCTTTGATATGCAATCTTAGCAGTAGAAGC